CTACTATACTCTCTCACACACTCTACTATACTCTCTCACATACACAACTATACACTCTCATACATACATGTAAAATGAGTATAATGGTGTGTGTGTATGAGTATAGTGGTGTATATGCAAGGTTATGATAGTGTGTGTAAGACCAAGTATGAATTATGTCCCAGGTGGCCCCTCATACATGGAACATGCTTGTGCAAATGAACTGTGCGATAACAACGGAAGATTATCCCAATTAGGACATGGCAATGTACGTGGGAAAAGCAACAGAGACGATAAGAGCTGAAATCGATCACCAAGGCTTTCAGCTGGACCGCCTGATGAATACATCCATGAAGTTGAGGAGTCATCTTGGCAAGAATACCCCTGAGTAGTGGTTACAGGACCAAGAAATGGCAGAACAGGATGAACAGGATGAACAGGATCACGCCACCTACCAGTTTCCTATAATATCCAAAGTATAGAGGCAATGACAGTATGTGCCATGGCCATTTATGGACATGGTCGTTTGGTGAAAAGATTACCAGACCTCACTGATGAAGCAGAGAAGTGGATCACTGCACTTGAGGAAAGGCCAGCAGGAGTGATGCTAGCTCTAGGCGACATCAAGGCTTTAATCATCCATGTGGCTGGAAAACATATGACTGAAGAAATCTTCTGCAATGCACAGCTGCCAAGAGTGATCACTGGAAACGATGACATAGGGTTTGGAGGATATCGTAATCGAATATTGGCCGAGGTGAGAAAACAGTTAGAAAGTAATGGTGTCCCCCCTTGTGTCCGTGTGGTGTATGTGTGTTCTGTTCTGTTCCTCTGTTTTCTCCCCAGGTGATCTGTCAATCAAGCCCACCTGTGTCCAATCATCCCACTGCTCCTGTCTGCCAATCAGAGGGCGCCACCGCCACTCATATGTGTGTATGTGTGTGTGTGTGTGTGTGTGTGTGGTTTCTGTGTTGTTGCTGGAGGGTGTTGTGTGTGAGTACAGAGTTGTGTCATGTTGTTTCTCTTTCCTTGTTTGATGGTCTGTACTCGGTGCAGTGTTTTTGTTCAGTTTTTGCCTCATGCCCAGGGGAAAGGTGAACAGGTAAGATAACCATGGGTATACATTTCCACCAAGTAGCCTTACACCTGTTACAATTCAACAGTTAAGGAGTAGGAGCCAAACCATGTATTTATTATGCGTAGAGTAGCTTCGGTTTCTCTGATAGCGTAGAGTATTGTTGCACTAGATCGCACTGCTCGTAGTTCCCTTGTTCCCTGTGGTGTTATTTTGTATAATAAATTATTGTTCCTTTTACCCGAACCTTGGTTTGTTTACTTGTGTTGCCACACCACACACCCTGCTCTGCGATGTGTTAGGCCCTTTGAATATCCCTAGACACTATACCATCAGAAGGGTCATAACAATGTTAACCAGCCAGGGCCCCCTAGTGGCAATTATCACCCCAGAGGACGACCAGGACAAAGACATGGTCCTTTCCAAAGAGGAGGGGGAAGAGGTTTTTCCACACTCCAATACAGGCACTCTCAGTCTCACGTGCAGATAAACCAACCACAACCAGAGGAAGCTTAAAACAGGGGCTAGGCTACCATATAGGAAACAATATCCATTATAACAGAATGCTACTGAAGGAATCATACCAATAATTGATGGTCTGATGAAAGTCGGAGTATTAATAACTACAAGCCAATGTAATACCAATCTTTCCTATAAAGAAACCACACTCAATGATTATTGATTGGTACATGATCACCATTGTAGATGCTGAGACATCCATCGTCCTCGACCCTCACACATTGCTCTCAAATATCCCGCCTGATGCATGTTGGTGATTGATCGGTGTTCAGCATTTTTTAGTGTGCCACTACATCCAGATTCACAGCATCTATTTGCTTTCACTAACAGGGGCAGCAGTACAAGTACATTTTTTGGCTCAAGGTTACATAGAAAGCCCTTCAATATTTAACAGAGTGTTGGCTYAAGACCTACAATACTTAGATGTCCCAAGCACTGTAATTYATTACATGGATGATTTGTTAATCTGCAGTCCCTCAAAACAGCAATGTGAGAGAGACCCTCTAGCGGTTTTGACTACACTTGCAAAGGGGGGGTCATAAAGTTAGATAAACTGTGACTATGCATTTAAATCTGCACTGTTGCGAGCCCTTATACGGTCAGCAGGACAAACTACTTACTCTGCTTAATAACAGTGGAGGGAGCCCTCCAAGAACTGAAAGGAGACTTGAAATCTGCCACAGCACTTGGAAATCCAGATTATTCCAAACCATTTCACTTGTTTCTTGCAGAAAGGTCAGGATACGCAAGCGCAGTATTAATGCAGGAAACGCCAACAGGTAAACAACCACTAGATTATTACAGCACAAAATGAGACCATATCAAATCTGGACTGCCTCCTTGCCATCAGGGTTTAGCAGCAGCTGTTTTTATTTTTTAGAAAGCATCCTCAGTTACAGGTGGGACACAGGTACATGGTTTGTTCTAACCCAAGCTAGAAAAACAGGCTATGAAGTGATCTTGTCAGCACCTGAACTCACCTTACAATGTTGTAACACTTTAAATCCGTCAATTTGTATGATATTACCGGTGGATGGTACCCCACATGACTGTATCCAGGAGACAGATACTTTAATGCGCTCCCATGAAGACATGTATAATGTATAATGTGTAATGTATAATGTGTAACATGTATAATCAACTGCTTACTGCAGACCTCTCCCTGTTTTAGAGGGAGGATTGTTGTAGAAAATTTGATATACATGTATTCTTTGCAAGCTTATGCATTCTGGTGGGCCAGAGCCAAATAAAAACAGGAGGGCTAATGAAGCAATACAGTTGCAGTGGTGGGTTAATGAGACTATGCAGGTGCAGTGGTGAGTTAATAAGGCTATAAATGTCTATGTGATATATTGAGGAAGATAAGAAAGGCCCTAGCTCAGCATTAAGCTGCAGTTGGTTGTTTTGTAGAATCTATATTTGGCATGGGAAATGACTGAGATTSAYRATGTTGTTATATCGTTAGGTTCAGTTCAAAGGCCTCTAATGACTAAGATTAATAATAGGTGTCTGAGTCTGACTGATAGTCAGTAATTTAATGCACCAATGAAAAAACAGTGTTCTAAAGCCAAAATCCACTCAGCAAATATGGCACCATTAGATTCAGGATGAATTAGAAGCTTTAATCAGGAAGAGGGTGAAGAAAGTCACCTCCTGATTGGTTGAACAGATAACAGTAGAGACAGGGGTTGAGCATATAAGCAGAGGGTTTGAAGCTCAGTCTTCAGTTGGATTCTGGAGCCAGCTCGGGTTAATTGCTTGTCAAAGATTAAATTCTACTGCATTGAACTCTGACCATCTCCAGTGAATTCTTTCAACCAAAGATTGAAGACTCCAATAGCAATAGAGTACAAGTGTTGGAAAAGAAGTTTAGTCTTAGTATCTGGCCCAGTATTAGACTTTTTATCTCCAACACCGGCCTCTCTCCCAATGGCAGCTAGGATTAGTGTAAGACTGAGATTACATTTTTCACTGCTGTTTTAAATGGCTGAAATAGCAGTGGTCGATTTGTTTACGTTCCAGCCTCCCAAAGGCAAGGTTTCTGCAGGATCTTAAAAAGTCAAAGCTCAAACATCCAAATGTTAGGCCTGAAAAGTCTTAAATACATTCAAATATTTCATACTGTGTACTGAATAAATTTTGATTATGTAAATGTGTGTTTAATGATACTTCTGTCACAGAAAGTATGTTTTTTTAAGATACAGGTTTTGGTGCCATGCCTAGTTTGCAATGTCTAATAAAACTACAAACTGCATTGATCTCAGTACACTTGGCTTTGGGAAAGACCATGGATACCTATTATCTCTGCCTGCAGTTTGAAAGATAACACAGTATTTCAAGTTATTTTCTTCTGGGCTACTTGACCTCTTCTTCAATTATTGGGAAGTAATACAGAGCTCTATTTGACCATAAACTATATATAGATGGACAGCATGACTGCACCCAAATATGAAGCCAAATCATGTTGATTGCCATCTGGTGGCTGGCTGGGACATACATCTCACCTCCTATATAGACCCGTTTTTAAACTGGGGGAATTGTTTCTTGATTGGTAAACAGTTCTGATACCTGCTTCAGAGCATTGTTGCATGCACGCACACAGGCAAAAGTAACTTAACAACTGATGGACAGATTTTCAACCTCACTTGGGAAGAATATTTCCAGGAATAATATCTCCAGATTATGACCTTTTGTAGTTTATCACTCAGGGATAGGGGGGTGGTTGGATGACACCCGATGTGTGTAAGATTTCTAAAGCTGCTGTTTATAGTCAATCTTACTGTGACAGACGTTGAGTGTGTTTGTGTGGGAGAGAGGGAGAGTGAGACAAAGAGGGCTTTCCTCCTGATCTTTTTGTGGTTGGGAAGAATCCTCACTGTGGGTGAACATAGTGTGCAACAGTGTTGAACGGCAGTGTCGATGTAAAAACCTGCATGCTGACCTGTGTTCCAGGGATTGTTGCACGTAGCCCAGGGCAGAGTGGCCCTGAAACAGTGGATGAGGTAGAGGAGGGCCCAGGCCAGAACARTGATKKWGWGTCGRGCATACAGCTGGATCACTATGATAGAATAGCCAGTTCCTGGAGGAAGAAAACATCCTAAATCCTGCAGAATCATTTATTTTGAGCCCTATTGTGACATACAGCTGATAAATATGACACCAACATCAACACAATAGTACTGCCAATACTGCCCAGGACYATAAGCAKATCTCAAAGATATGTTTGAGCATTTGTATTTTATAAATGTGCCAAGTGTAGCATTTTAATTTTAAAAGTCATCCAAATGTGTCCAGCCAGTTAAAGCTGGTGTAATAAATGTGTGGAAGAAAAATAAAGCAACAAGTCAATAAATCTATTAGTTGATCAGAAGAACCAGTTCATGCATGAAGTTTCATTCCTCTGCAGTTGTTCATGTGGTATATTGAACAGTTCACTTTAGGAGGATATTGCCTAATATCCTTGACTATGGTGTATAGATAAAAATTAATTTGATGGGTGTGATTGTTTGATAGCCAATGTTGTCTAAATGCTGTTGTACAATGAAAATTTAATTTATTTATCAGCTAGCCCTCAAAGTAAATCTTTTGGGTTATTTGGCCAGACATCCAAAAACGTTTCAACAGAACACCTTCGGGATAAGCAGCAAGAATGAGCAGCGGTATATGCAGACATGATTTGATTCAATCATTTCAACATGAATAAGAATTTATAAGAAAAGTTTAAAAAAGTGAAACTGGCATATTTAATATTTGATGCATTTGAGCATAAACAGAGAAAATATACAACATATAGTGTTTAATTCAAATCTTATGGATAATTGAGTTCAATGCAACACCCAGACATGATTACTGCCAGACCTGCTCAAAGGTCACTTACATAGAACTTTGTGGCAATTTGAAGTAGGATAATATTCTGTGGAATCATGAGTCAAAAGAAGTTGCCTTTTGACTTAAATCCAATTGAAATGCTTGAGACCTTGAAACGGCCAGTTCATGGTTGGAAGCCCTCCAATGTTTCCAACATTGTGCAAAGAGGAGTGGGCCAGTCTTCCTCAACACTGAGGAAAAGGACTAATGGCACACATTTAGTTGCAGTTGCTGCTGCCAATGGTGGCCCAGTTATTGGGTTTTGGGGGTCAATACTTTTTGACAGCACAGTACAACTTTCGCAGTGTTTGGATTTTGCTGTGGTTGTATAAGATTACCCTTTGATAGTGGGCTGAGGTTGGTCCAGCAGGTGATGGCGCCCTCCTGTGTGTACTGACCAATAACAGTCTCTAGCAGGAAGAGTGGCACACCACACAGCACAGCAAAGAAGAGGTAAGGCAAGAGGAAGACACCTGCACACACAGAATTACACATCAGATGTTGAKAAAGTGAGTGACAGCGATAACTTCTCCAATCAACCATCTGCTCATCTATAAAATGTCTGTATGACGGTTGCAAAATGGCTATTTATTAACAAAGTAAACAGTGTATATACCAACAACAGTGAAATAAAGTGACTAAATAACAGACATACTGTCATGRTTCCCTCCCCTCCAGCTGCAAGTTTCCCAGTGTTTTCCCTGTGTCTCCCCCTTCCTTCKGTCTCCTGTGGTTTCTCCCTGTTTTCTCTGTTGGTTTGTCCCATGGGCGTGACCTGGAGCCGGAAGCTGCGCACCGGCACCTCATCATTCATCTCAGTGTGTGTTACCGAGAATAAACTTTGTTATTCTTTATAAGACTGTCTGGTTCTGTTCTGGGGTCYGATCCCTCGTGGATCCTAACACATACACAATTATCTATATATCACACTAGAGGRAATAGCATCATATGTCTCTTTTAAACACTGGAATCATAGCGCTGCAGTTAAATATTGTTCAGTTTATAGCAGCATTGTTGAATTTGCCATGTCAAAACTAAAAGTGGACAATTTAAGCCAATGCTARAGCATAAATGAATCATCATCAATGCAGAAACCTTTATCAAAAACACATGTGACAATTAGATTCCCRGTATTGTGGCTTCTGCCTTTATTTTCTTTTAGCCCCTCTCTTTGTTTATATTGTTGTACTTGAGTGTTTTTGAACACTGTTTGCTGGTTGTTCATTTTATACATGGTGATCCACACCAGTAAGTGAGCAGCATCTTGGTTCCAGACCAACAAGATTAACGTTATGGAGTGGCCAGCCCAATCCACGGACCTTAATCCAATAGGAAACTTGTGGGCTGACATCAAAAATGTAGTTTATGAGGCTAAACCAAGAAATGCAGAGGAATTGTGGAATGTAGTCAATCGTCCTGGGCTAGAATACCTGTTCACAGGTGCCAGAAGTTGGTCGACTCCATGCAACACAGTTCTCAGAAACAGTGGTTATACAACTAAATATTAGTTCAATTATTCACAGGAAAGCTAAATCTTCAAGCATTTTTCAGTTTATACAGTAAATGTTTGAGTTTGTAAAGAAAAATACAGACACTGCTATTTTTTTGAACAGCCTAATATTCCTTTTTCTTCAATTTCTGTAAAGTAATAACAAATTTTATACATTTTTCTTCATGTTTTGATTTTGAATAGAATGTGCAGTGTTCCCAATGCATTTGCGTGTATGGAAATATGAGCTATTATAAGGATTTTGAGCTTTACTCACTTTTTTAAACACCCTGCTATTATTTTGAACACAACTGTACATCTTTTTGTTGAATATTCTGTGTTTATCTTTAATTTGCAATAACATGTACCCGGTGTTTTCACCTACCTGTGTATACCCCTTGTGTGTCATTTGTAATAGAGGTCTGTTAATAGAGTTATGTTGAAACTGTAGCTGTCTTATTACTTAGTCAACCTCTTTAAGTTTGATCCATGATTTTTATAGTTTTTCAAATTTTTTGTAAATTGTATGGTTCAGTCAGGAACACTATGTCATGATTTACCCATTTGTTGCAAATGGGGATACAGTTATGATTGGCGCTAAAGGCTCCATTCTTTGGATATTCCCTGGATTAGCCGAGCAGCGTGCTAAGATAAAAAAGGGATCATGTGCAGAACCCCCTGTTGGGCGTAGCAGGCAAGGTACATTTGTTTAAGATGAAAATCATTTACCACGACCGTGTTTGGACTCGGTGCTAAAAGGTGGAGGCTGGGGTGCTGGAGGCAAGTTGCCTGCAGCAAAGAATGGGCTTCATTTATTCAATTATTTGTCATTTGAAAAAAGAAAATAATTGTTCCAATTTCTTTAAAAAGAAAAGATTACTTTCTAAACCTTGTACTCCTTCTCCWTTGAGCTTGGTCCCTAACAATCACAATTTCAGGATGAGACTTTTTGATTTAACTATAATCTGGTATTTTTGTATTATTGTGCTATGCTATTGTTC